TTATCACTGCAGTTCAATATTAATATTTTCATTGAACGGGATTTTGTGCTAAGATGTTTTTGTTCTGAATCATGTTTATATGGCCATTAAAGTTGTTCAATCCAAGAGTTGTTTTATCAAATAAATTGTTTTTTTAAAAAAAAAAAATTAGTAGTCAATGTTGCCCAAGTGGGAGAATGTAAGAATTTATTCTTAATTGGGCTACCATTAACTATGTTTTATTTTGATTTGTGAAAAACGGGTTGAAAGTGATTCAGACAAACTGACTGGTATGAGCCCAAATTAATTTTGTGATTCATAAAGTTTTGGGCCATGGTTCATCTTAGTGGTTTTATTATAAGTATGTGGTATGGAGGTGTAAGGCTTGTTTTGAGTAATTTGGGTTCCTTAATGGGAGGGCCCAATAATTATTGTTTAGGCCCAGTCCCCTCTCCTATCCTATTAGGGTTTACCTATATTTATATATATGTAAATCTAAGGGTTGTTACCCCATTGAAAAACAACGTGAAAAATATAGGAGAAGTAGAGGAAGAGCTGGTACTAAGGTTTTCCAATCGTAAGAGTAAATTTATTTTCTTGGTCCTTTATGTTGATGATATTTTACTTGCTACTAATAATTTGGGATTATTACTTGATGTTAAGAAGATGTTGTCAGAAAATTTTGATATGAAAGATCTTGGAGAAGCATCTTATATACTTGGCATTGAGATACATAGGGATAGACCTAGAGGGTTATTGGGCTTGTCGCAAAGAGCATATCTAGATCGTGAGATTTTACACGGACAGTGACAGGTTCAAATAAATTCTTTTCTTAGTGAATGACTACAATTGACTGTTTGGAAATAATTTTGGTAAAGATATCAACACCACAACTTAAAAGAAAATGGATTTAATCTGCAACAAAAAATCTACATTGCAAGCCTTTAGCATAATAAACTTATGATGTGACAAAAGGGTTGAGATTTTGCAAACGTTAATACTTTGACAGTACAGACCCAGAATCTTCTTAGACACGGGTTACTTAAAAAATCAAGAGTATGGAACTATGGATATATTCAATGAATGTTTTTTATATAATTTTCAATTTTATCATCTGATCAAAAATGAATATAAAGAAGAATAAAGAAGAAATTTGGTCAGTCATTGGAGAAACTTGGCCTCAGACGTAAAGTGCAAGTTCACAAATTTCAAAAAATATAGAATTGATTCTACAAAACAGAGTGAAAAGGTCTAGTGTATTCTTATACAAGTTATGCATTATTTGGTTTACTGGATTGATATGGAAATGAAATGGAGTTATCATTCCTTAAGTTTCTCTATGGAATGATAATTCTTTTACAATAATGAATTGTAATTTTATTTACAATATAATTTTAATTATTTTTTATTCAACCAAACATATAAATGAATATTTTAATGAAATAATTTCATTCCAATGAACCACTCATTCCTTAAAAGATATTGAGAATTCCCAGAAATGCACAGTTAAAAGAATAAAATGAGTGGGTTAATTCAGAACATTGCTGACTTTTATTCGTAAAACTTCACATATCTAATACTCATTTTGCAAATTTCATTGGGTTCACATGAACCCTCTTTGTTGACGTGCCGTCGCCCCTGCTTGCCCATATAGATTTTCATACTTACTTTGAGGAAGAAATGGTGATTCAAATTCCCATCAAAATTAATTTCTTACTATTAATTTCCAAGAGATATTTCCAAGAAATGGTTAGGGTTTTCAAATCAAAAGCCCTAATGTAAATGAAGTTTAGAGTTAGAAACAAACCTTAGCTACAGAAAATATCTCTTGGAAATATTCTATTAGAATGGAAGAAACTCTGGTTCTTGACGTCAAGACAGTGAGAGGTTATGAAGAAAGATGTCTACACCGAGAGAATGGTGGCCCTGACGCCGATGGGGCTGGTGGTCTTCGGCAATGGCTGAAGCTTCGGCTATGGTGGAAGAGATGAGGGAGGAGAAGAGAAGAGCAAGAGCACGAGCCAGAGAGAACTGGGTGATGCTATGGACTACTCTGACTGTTGGACTACTCTGATCTTTTGCTCTGTTTGGTAACCGGTTACACAGGTTGCCTAATTTGAGAGTCAAATTATTTAAATATCTTAGTTATGACCTGGTTATGAAGTAATATGGTATAAGTAAATAATTGAATATAACTAAGTTATGACTTAATATGATAGTAGTTATGACTAATATGATATTGGTTATGATATAAAATTATATAAGTTCATAACTAAATGTATAGTACATCTAAATGTACCATAGCATCACCCTCTTTCCAAAACACTCCTAAATTTTATTTTACATTACTAAATTTTATTGTAACTCACATAACATGTGACATTTTTTGATGTGACAAAGAAGGCATCAACCGGGGACAATCTTAGCACGTACGACTGCAGCAAAACCGTGCAACTTTTATCATGAAATATGACAAGTTACTTGACGATTGGGTTATTTTATTTCATTTGTTTATTAAATACTAGAATAATGATCCATCCATGAAAATGATATGAAATAAAATATACATTAAAATTTGAAGGCAACTTTAGAATAATGTAAATTTAGTAGTTGAATTCGTCAAACTACAGAGATAGTTATAGTCCTTACTTTTTATTTGTTAAGTAAAATCATAAAAATTATAAAAAATAAAAATAAAAATAAAAAATTCTTTACTTTTTGGCAAGCCGACTGGTGGATGGAACTCCATCACCTGCCTTAGGGAAATGTGAGTTTACACAAATTGACATTTCAAGTCAAATTTGTACAACTGACATTTCAAGCCTCACTTTTTCTATGTAAGCAGTTTTAATGGGTGGAGAAGCAAATTGACGGGATGATTTAGGCTATGTTTGGTACGGGTATTTTTAGTTATTTTATTCTTAAAATAAATTAAAAAGTTAAGAGAGAGAGAGAAAAGTAGAGAGAGAAAGAGAGAGAAATAAATAATGATTTTGATCTGAGTAAACATTAGTTTCTCCTCTGTTTATCATTGTACCTTATTAAGGTCAAGTTTGGCTAAACAAAATAAGTGCACTTATTTCATCTTTTTATCTTTTTTGGATCACATCAATCAACATCTCCTCTCTATTTTTTCTACACATAATACAATAAAATTCAAAAAATGCACTTATTTAGTCTTCCCAAACTTGACCTAAATTTTATTGTGAGTCACATAACAAGTGTCTTATTATTGTGGTGATAACACATCATGAAAGAAAATTAAATTTTTTTATTAAATAAATAATTAAATGTCTTATATGAATATAAGAATTTCACATTTATGTAAGATATTTAGTCATTTATTTAATAAAAAATTAAATGTATAACATTTTTCAAGTGACAAGTCACTTGACCATTAAGTTATATTATTTCTAGAACAATGGCCCATCCATGAAAATGATATGAAATAAAACACCCATTAAAATTTGAAGGCAACTTGAAAATAATGTAAATTTAGTAGTTGAATTCGTCAAACTACAGAGATAGTTATAGTCCTTACTTTTTATTTGTTAAGTAAAATCATAAGTCTTATATGGATATAAGAATTTTACATTTATGTAAGGTATTTAGTCATTTATTTAATAAAAAATTAAATGTATAACATTTTTCAAGTAACAAGTCACTTGACCATTAAGTTATATTATTTCTAGAACAATGGCCCATCCATGAAAATGATATGAAATAAAACACCCATTAAAATTTGAAGGCAACTTGAAAATAATGTAAATTTAGTAGTTGAATTCGTCAAACTAAAGAGATAGTTATAGTCCTTATTTTTAATTTGTTAAATAAAACCATAAAAATTATTTAAAAAAAAAATCTTAACTTTTTGGCAAACTAACTGGTGGATGGAACTCCATCACCTGCCTTGCGGAAATGTGAGTTTACACAAATTGACATTTCAAGCCTCACTTTTTTCTATATAATCAGTTTTTATTGGTTGAGATACAAATTAACGGCATGATTTAAAATCACAAAAAAAAGGGAATCACAAATCATTTTTTTATTCGTATCGTTACATCTATCGAATTTGTTTTATTTGAATAAATCCGAATGAGTTACTTTTCAGCAAGAGACTCATGCACATGAGTTTTTTTTTTTTTTTTTTATAGAAAAGACTCATTCAGACGAATTCGAATTAAACAAATTTGATAGACGAATCATTAATCTTTTTACATTTACACATGTCAAATCTCCAAAACAATTATGTCATAATAATCGCATATTATTTGAAGTTACGCAGTAAGATACTAGCATATAAGGGTGAAAATTTGCGATAGGACACGACAATATGACTCGAACCATATACGAAATCAGAGGGTTATGATTGATCATTTCCCAACATTAATACGTATATAGCACGACATGATAATATGAATATTAAAATGGTCGAGTTAGCGCCAAAACTGTATAACATGAAATTGATACGGATAATCGGTATAATAAAGAATTAGTTACACCTTTAATATTTTTTCTACTAAAGAGTATCATGACGTTTTTTAATCTCTTATGTAATTTACATCCAGTTTATTAAAAATTATATAAAATACAATTTTAAGTTTAATATAAGTTTTGGTTTTTGCTTTTAATTGAACTTTTAATATATTTTTGTCTATTAATCTAGTAAAAAAATAAAATTATAAAATATAATTTTTATAAATTAAGAAAATCAAATTAAGTTGAAATCAAATATTTTTATAAATAATTTCATTTAATAGAGATTAGTTTCATTAAATTTAACTTGTGAGGAAATTTTCAAATTTTTTTTGAAAATTTTATATTTTTAGTTAATAGTGAAATTTGTTGACATAATATATTAATACAATACGAATCTGAGAAGGACCGAAAATGACATGAAACGATAATACGAAATAATAATAAGTTGGATTAGTATTAAGATAATTCTAATACGAATCCGAAATACCATGAGGACACCCCTACTAGCATATAATGCAGTAAAAGAACTGTAAATTGATTTAGAGAAAAGGTAGGGATCATGAAATTTTTTTTATGAAAATGATCATGAAAGATTTGTGACCTTTAAATTACTTTGATTAGTGTCTGGTACTTTATTTTAAGTGTAATTTAAGAATCATAAATCTTTTATGATCATTTTCATGAAATTTTTTTTATGATACCTTGCATTGCTCATTGATTTATTCATTATTTAATCAAATTTTGCAAGAAAAGCAAAGCATTTGATAGATGCAACGACATTACATTAAAAAAAATACAACAATGCACAACACAAAGAACTAGGCATTGTTTTCATTCAAGAAACAAGCCACTCGTTTGAGCATAGCCACAGCATTGTCACAAGTCGGATTAAACAAGTGGAACACATGGTCCTCCCCTGCAGACTCCACAATCTCCACCACCCCTCCCTACCCGCTCTTCTCCAATTCCTTGTAATACCATCCCCTATCCTTCAAAAAATCTTTCTCAGCTACACATACCAACACCTTATCACAAACCATGCTCGAAAACTTCGGATCCACAACTGGGTTGAATAACGGGTCATCAGACCCGCTAGACGATGGATACACAAAGAGCCAGAATTTATCAGCAACCGCTTTCCCATTGATGTTACCGTCAGCAACTTCAGATCCAACCAGGTCCTTCCCTCCGAAATATGGATGGATTAAAACCATCCCAACAAGCTTCACACCATCCAGCCCATCCGACCCGACCCGAATTGCCATGTTGTGTGCTATGTTACCACCTGCGCTATCTCCAGCAAAGAAAACCCGATCAAAATCAACGTACTCCTTTAGCCATACCTCACCACCATTAGCGGTCGAGTGAGAAGCAACCCACTTGACAGCGGCCCAAGAATCTTCGTACGGGATTGGAAGAAGGTGCTCAGGGGCTCTTCTGTAATCAACAGAGACGACAACGATGTTGACTTCGGCCACAAGTGAATTGAGATAGTTATGGTATGTGGGAGAGAAGGCGGTTTCCAGGCAGAAGCCACCGCCATGAAAGTAGACAAGAAGAGGGAGTTTGTGATGTGGGTTGAGGGTTTTGGGGATGTAGAGCCTCGCAGATAAGCCAGTCTCTGGATCAATTACGACATCTTTGGATTGGACACCGGTGTCGGGATTGATTGAAGGAGGGACAACATCGTTTCCCATGAATCTTTCTACTCTGCCATCTCTGTGAACTCGAATGAATGGTGGAAAATCATGGGCTATTTCTTCAGCTGTGCTTGAAGCCATGGTGATGATGAGAGGAAACTGAACACACGGAAAGAAATAGTGGTGGCCTTTTCTTTTCTTTTTCTACACTTATTGAAGGAGGATTCGTATCATCCCCATTTGATAGTTGTAACAATTGATATATATAATCAAAGGTGAAGAATTTTTTATAATTATTTTTACCATATATTTTTTTTAATCCCTAACACAACAAATAGTGTGCTGCCACATCACCAACTCATAAAACAAACTGAGACATCGAATTGAAAAGTCTCTTCAGCTCAACTCTAGTTTAAACTATTTATGTGGTCAACTTCATTCTCTCTCTACGAACTGTTTTCCCAAATACATTCCTACAAACCCCAACGGCCATCGTACATTGCACCAACGCCATAGGCATATTATGCATAATGAAAATAATTTTGCATAATGAACAAATCTATATCACAATACAGTTCTGTAAATCCATTTAAAGTAATATACACATATCTTCATTTTCCAGACAAGCAAATCACCAACACAATCACTTATCTCCCCTTCAACTGCTAAATTTATCCCTATAAAGTATCTCTTTTCAGTTAAAGAATGGAAAATTCAAAAGAGTAGAAACAAAATCAATTCAATTTCTCCACAAAATACACAGGCCAATCTAATTGTTCTGGTAAACCCAATCACCATTTTTGGCTAATAGATTTGCTTGTCTCTATCACAGTCACCATTACCTCTCCGCAATTAATTTTCTCTGTAATTTATTCCTAATCTCTCTCATGTTGTATTCTTTATTACCTATATACAAATAAATAGATACAACAGATTATATCTCCAGGATAAAAGAATGAGGGGTAGAAGTTTGGATTTATTAAGAATGGAGTAGAGAGAAAGAAGATGGATCTACAAATCTAAAGAGAGAGAGAGAAAGGGAGATTAACGGGGAGGTGTTTGCGGTTAGTAGAGAGAAAATAAGGTTACATAAATGATTCAAACTATGGTTAAGTTAAACTTGGCTCTTAAATGTTGAGTTCTTAATTTTTACCGAGGTGGCAAAATAATATTGGTTGTCTGTAATTTTAAATTTCACGGCTCAGCTGTGTAATACTCTATTCATTAATTGTAAAATATTTGTGTAAATTTACCATTATATTAAATTAAGAAAAATTTACTACAATTGTTGAAGCAAAAATCATTAAATGATGTAATAGAGAGGATTGGTAACAAAAAAAAAAATTAAAAAATTAAAATTAACTTTTATCATGGAGTATGACAAGTTCTTGACAATTGGGTTATTTTGTTTCATTTGGTTATACTAATACAACTTGACTTGAAATTCTAGAACAAAGACCCATCATACCCATTCATGAAAATGATATGAAATAAAATACCCATTAAAATTTAGAATATTGTAAATTTAGTGGTTGAAATCGTGAAACTAATGTAAGGGGTTAATCATACTTTTGGTCTGCCAAGTATGCATTGTGTGTTATTTAAATTTTAATATTTAAATTATGTTAATTTAATCACTAAATTATAAAATGTGTCATTAGTCTTCAAACATAATTCAGTAGCATAAAGTACCTTTGTTTTTCTTTCTCTAATTACCTCTTAATCGAATTTGACAATACTATGATCATCACATATAATGGCCTCTAGAATCAAAGCACTTCAAAAAAGATAGGCGAGAGGGGTAACTTTAATTATACAGAGTGCAAACATATTGTGGGGAAGGATTTTGAGATAACGCCATGTGGTTAAGGTGATGCTGAGGTGCGGCGACTAATTCCATTTTAGTCGCCATTTCATGCACTTTCAGCGACGAATTTTTTTTTTTAGTCGCCGTTGGTGTTTTTTGTTGTAGTGGCCGATTATATTTGTTGAGATGTTTAGAGCACTGTCGAGGTATTCTGCGAGGATACCAGCATCAGAAATATTTGGATAAAGGACTAGAGTCTTAAATGACATCAAACTACCTATTTGGATAGAGATGGGACTCTTGAGGGAGTTCATCTTAATCTGAATAATGTGAGTTTGTAAATGATAGAATCTCATGAAGTAAGACTTCTAAAGGAAGTTGGACACTAATCATTATAAAAGTAAAGTACCATCATAGGTCTAAGGTATGCTTTTATTTGTGATACTTTGACTTGTGCATTAAGTACTGTTTTGATATTTGTGAGAAATAAGATTTATTGACTTCATCATCAAAATGTCCTGGGTCGACGAACCACTGCGGGAATTTTCATCTTCTTGTTACAAGTTGTTGGGCTTAATCTATTCTGTCGGTACTCTCCAACTAAGTGCCTCTTTAATTGTGTGGTTAGAAACCAACGCCCACACATGTAATGCAGTAAAAGAACTGTACATTGATTTATTTATTATTTAATCAAACGTGTCAAGAAAGCAACATTTGACAGATGCAACAAAATTATATTAAAAAAAGAGCAATACAGATGCAACAAAACTATATTAAGAAAAAGAGCAATGATTACTACGTACGTTACACAATGGAAAACAAAGTGCATGCAAACAACCAAAAAAGAAAGCCCACAACACAACACAATCACACTCACACTCACACTATGCCTTGTCCTCGTTCAAGAAAGAAGCCACTCTCCCAAGCATAGTCACAGCATTGTCACAAGTTGGGTTAAACAAATGGAACACATGGTTCTCCCCCATAGCCTCCATAATCTCCACCACACCTCCCCACCCACTCTTCCCCAATTTCTCCTTGTAATACCATCCCCTCTCCCTCAACAAATCTTTCTCAGCTACACATACCAACACCTTGTTACAACCCAAGTTAGAAAAATTCGAATCCATAACCGGGTTGAATAATGGGTCATCAGACCCGCTAGATGATGGGTGGGCAAAGACCCATAATTTGTCCGAAAACACTTTTCCCATCATGTTAGTACCTTCACTTCCAGTCGGGTCCTTCCCCCCAAAATACGGATGGATTAAAACCATCCCCACAAGTTTCACTCCATCCAGTCCATACGACCCAACCCGAATGGCCATGTTGTGTGCTATATTAGCACCTGCACTATCTCCTACAAAGAAAACATGATCAAAATCAACATAGTGCCTTAGCCATACCTCACCACCATTAGAGGTGGAGTGAGAAGCAACCCACTTGACAGCGGCCCAAGAATCATCGTAAGCGACTGGGAGAGGGTGCTCAGGGGCTCTTCTGTAATCAACAGAGACGGCAACAATGTTTGCTTCGGCCACAAGTGAAATGAGATAGTTATGGTATGTAGGAGAGGAGGCGGTTTCGATGCAGAAGCCACCACCATGAAAGTAGACAAGAAGAGGACGTTTGTGATTTGGGTTGGGGGTTTTGGGGATGTAGAGTCTTGCAGATAAGTCAGTCTCTGGGTCAATCACGACGTCTTTGGATTGGACACCGGTGTCGGGATTGGTTGAGGGAGGGACAATGTCGTTGCCTGTCAATCTTTGGACACTGCCATCTTTATTTACTCGAAGGAAGTATGGAAATTCATGGATTAGTTCTTCAGCTGTGCTTGAAGCCATGGAGAAGAAAAGAAACAGAACAGAGAGACAGAGAGAAAGTAGTGGCTTCTGTTGATTGTAAACTCAAGCTAATAATACCTTATTGTGGCCAACATTTGATTAATAAATACTGATTTACGTGAGAGAGAGTGTGGTACCATTTCTGTTTTGTTTTTATATTAATTTTAAATTTATATGAAACTCTATTAGTCAGATTTTGAGTGAATTAATGAGATGGTTAAAAAAAAAAACAGAATAAGTCATAGATTCTATCATGGTTGATTAAATATTATAACCTATGCAAGTGTTATCGGTGCATTTACATTAGTAAAGGAGAAGGGAGAACGACAAATTGGAATGGTGTTGTTATGCATCTCTCTCATTATATTCGTTGTGGCTACGGCAGTGTGATTATATAACCCATCTCTTTTTTCAAATTTTTTATTTTAAATAATTTTTTTTAAATTATGTCAAAAGTTTTTATTTTTTCTGTTCATTTTATAAAAACAAATCTAAAAGGTAAAAATTTTAAATAATACCAAAAAAAAAAAGGTTCACATTTTTTTTTGTGGGTGCTTATTTTGGTTTTTTTTTTTTTTTTTAGAATTTTTAATTTTTCTTTTCAATTTTCGGTCTAGAAACCAAAGGTTTTTTTTTGAAAATTTCTTTTTAAAAAATCACTAAAACCGAAAACAAACTAAAAAAAATCACCAAGTAACTAAACTCTAAACACCCACTAAAAGATTTCTTATAATTTTTTTGTATTATGTTTCATACTGAGATTATCAGGTGATTTATAAATATATTTTTTATTGTGAAATTTTGGACTCATCAACTTGTAAAAGTTATTTTTGAAAATTCGTAAAAAATATATTACACAAAAGTAAAGACATTGAATTTTTCAAGATTTTTTATTGTTTTGTCTTTGAAATTTAAAAAATATATTAATGAAAGTGGTATTTTTAATAATAAAAAACATATATACAAAAAAAGTTTAAAAAATCGATACAATTAGGAAAAATTCATTGCTGGTAGAAAGAGAAAAAAAAAAATATAATGGGGATATATATACAAAAGTTAATTTTTAGTCGCCGAATGGATTCAGCGACTAAATTATTTGGTCGTAAAAGTAGTCATCGAAGAATTGTCGGCAAATTATTTTAGTCGCCAAAGGTATTCAATTTCCGACTAAATTTTTAGTCGCCAAAAGGTTGGACATTAAATTAAATTACTACAATTTCGGCGACCAAACTTTTAGTCGCCTAAACTCTCACATTTTTAGCTACTAAAATGTTAGTCGGCAAAGAGTTCTTCTTTTGCCTACTAAAAATTTGGTCGCCTAAAATCCCACATGTTTGGCTACTAAAATTTTAGTGGACAAAAAATTCTTCTTTTGGATGCTAAATATTTAGTCGCCTAAAGTCTCACAAGTTTGGCTACTAAAATTTTAGTTGGCAAAGAGTTCTTCTTTTGGCTACTAAATATTTAGTCGCCTAAAGTCCCACATTTTTTGTTACTAAAAGTTTAGTCGGCAAAAAGGTTTTATTTTGGCAAGTCTCACATTTTGAGCTACTAAATTTTTAGTTGGCAAAAGTGTTTTTATTTTTTAGCTACCAAATATTTTAGTCGCCAAATGTTTGATTTTCTTTTGGCTACAAAACTTTTAGTAGCCAAATGTCTTTTTTTTTTTTTTTTTTTTGGCTACAAAACTTTTAGCTGCCTAAAGTATTTTCTTAATTTATTTTTAGCTACTAATTGTTTAGTCGCCAAAAACATGATATTATGTTTCATCGCAAAATTATGATTTCTCCACAACCTATCTATATTCTATGCAACCTGTAATACGTACATAAACAAAATGATACATACTATCAATCATTCCACAATCTGCATCCATATACAAAAAATAAATAACTTTAAATGTCAAAGTCCATATACAAACCAACTATTGTCCAAACTAAATAATTTAGTCGCCTAAAGTCTCACATGTTTGGCTACTAAATATTTAGTCGCCTAAAGTCCCACATTTTTTGTTACTAAAAGTTTAGTCGGAAAAAAGGTCTTATTTTGGCAAGTCTCACATTTTGAGCTACTAAATTTTTAGTCGGCAAAAGTGGTTTTATTTTTTAGCTACCAAATATTTTAGTCGCCAAATGTTTGATTTTCTTTTGGCTACAAAACTTTTAGTAGCCAAATGTCTTCTTTTTTTTTTTTTTTTTTGATACAAAACTTTTAGCTGCCTAAAGTATTTTCTTAATTTATTTTTAGCTACTAATTGTTTAGTCGCCAAAAACATGATATAATGTTTCATCGCAAAATTATGATTTCTCCACAACCTGTAATACGTATATAAACAAAATGATACATACTATCAATCATTCCATAAATTGCATCCATATACAAAAAATAAATAACTTTAAATGTCAAAGTCCATATACAAACCAACTATTGTCCAAACTAAAATAATAATTCCATACAAAATATGTCATACAAAAATCAAAGTCATCTGTATACAAAAAAATACATTTACTAACAAGCGAAATTACCATTTGGCATGGTACAAATTACTATCGTTATTTATACCACAACAAAAGGTGATATATGTACCACGACAAAAGTTTTTCTATAGACCATGACAAAAGGTCATATATGTACGCCGACAAATGGTCATATATGTATCACGAAAGAAGGTGATCTATGTACCACGACAGTCGTTATCTGTTGATTGCCAAAAGTAGTCAGCCCTAGAGAATATGTTCTAACATGCATTTAAGGTAGATCAATAGAGAAATGTCTTCTTGGAAATAAAAGAAAGTATAGATATATGTATCATGCAATATTTATTCCAACCAACTGCACAAACAATCTAATATGTAATTTCTTCATCCTATAAATATATAAAGACAATTATTAGAATATGTTGATATTATTTTCATTAAGTTGTTGCTCTTCAAACTAAGTGTTGCGAGTTTTTCGACTAAGTGTAGGGCGTTTTCAGCTCAAACTCCAAGCCTACGGGTCCTAATTACATTCCGTCAGTTGTCACAGGTCGTAATTTTCATAGGGAAGTAGTCCATGAGAGCTACAAGATGGTTCAGTGGCTATTATGAATTTTCGCCCCCGAAACGCCCTTTTTCGACTAAGTTTAAGGCGTTTTCGGCTCTAACTCCCTACTTACGGGTCTGAATTACATTTCGTCAGTTCTCAAAAGTCCTATTTGTCATGGGGAACCTGTTCGTATGAGCCACACGGTGGTTCGGGGGCTGTTATGAATTTTCGCCTCCAAAACGCTCTTTTTCGACTAAGTTTAGGGCGTTTTCGGCCCAAACTCCAAGCCTACGAGTCCGAATTACATTCCGTCAGTTTTCATGAATCCTATTTGTCATGGGAGACTTGTCTGTGTGAGTCACACAGTGGTTTGGGGGCTGTTATGAATTTTCACCCCCGGAACGCTATTTTCGACTAAGTTTAGGGCGTTTTCGGCTCAAACTCCCTACTTACGGGTCCGAATTACATTCTGTCAGTTCTCACAAGTCCTATTTGTCATGAGGAAACTGTTTGTGTAAGTCACATGGTGGTTCCAGGGCTGCTTTGAATTTTCGCCCCCGAAACGCCCTTTATAGACTAAGTTTATAGCGTATTCGGCTCTAACTCCCTACCTATGGGTCCGAATTACATTCTGTCAGTCCTCACAAGTTCTATTTGTCATGAGGAACCTGTCCATGTGACTCACACGGTGGTTCGGGGGCTGTTATGAATTTTCACTCCCGAAACGTTCTTTTTCGACTAAGTTTAGGGCGTTTTTGGCTCAAACTCCAAGCCTGCAGGTCCGAATTACATTCCATCAGTTCTCACAAGTCCTATTTGTCATGGGAACCTTTCTGTGTGACTCACACGGTGGTTCAGGGGCTGTTTTGAATTTTTGCCCCCGAAATGCTCTTTTTCAAGAGATTGTTTGGGGTGTCCTAAATAAGTGCACTTTTTGTCTTTTTAGACTAAAAAATTGAGGGAAAAAATATGAATGTTTGGGTTAACTTTTTGACTTTTTACGAAAAAAATGTGTATTAAAAAATTGTATAAATAAGTGTGTAGGAGAAGTTAATAGGGTAGGCCGTGCAGTTGGCAGTGTGGTGTGCTGGTGAGGAGATGAGAAATAATTGTTTCCTTTTTAGGCTTGAATCGGACGGTGTGTTCGGCCCGTAGGGCCCACCACGGGTCCCGTTTTGCTAATCGAAACCGATCAATATGTAGAACTAGTCGAGTACTATATGCTCATAAAAAATCACGTTGATCGGATATCGATAACTATTTGATCGTGTTAGTTTTTTTGTCAACTGTTAACTATAACACCGTCCACTTTTTATACAAAACTAATTCGATCATATAGTTAGCGATATCCAATCAACGTGATTTTTTATAAGCATATAGTACTCAACGAGTTCTACACATTGACGGTTCAGATCATCAAAACGAGACCCGTCATGGCCCTCACGGGCTGAACAACACCGCTTTTAAACTTGCCTCCACCTATGTAATTTGTTCTCAAAGTCTACACAAGGCAACTCATGTCAGTGCTGTTTGTACCATTTTTTTGTATAAAAATAATTTTTTTATAATTTTTTTTATTGAATAGTAATAACTTTGTAACTTTTTTTTGTAACTTTTTGTCTTTTTATCTTTTTTGAAAGTTCCCAAACTTGCCCTAAGTTTAGGGCGTTTTGGGCTCTAACTCCCTACTTACGGGTCCGAATTACATTTCATCAATTCTGACAAGTCCTATTTGTCATGGGGAAACTGTTTGTGAGAGCCACACGGTGGTTCGGGGGCTTTTATGAATTTTTGCCTCCGAAATGCTCTTTTTCAACTAAGTTTAGGGTATTTTCAGCTCTAACTCCCTACTTACGGGTCCGAATTACATTTCGTCAGTTGTCACAAGTTCTATTTGTCATGGGAAAACTGTCTGTGAGAGCCACAAGGTGGTTCAGGGGGCTTTTTTGAATTTTCGCCCCCGAAATGCTTTTTTTGACTAATTTTAGGGCGTTTTAAACAAGTTTCTCAAATTAAAAACACGCTTTT